GGCTGTAGATGATTGGGGCCTCCCATCAAGAGTGCGATGTGACAACGGAGGAGAGAATGTCGATGTTACTCGTTATATGATTAATCATCCGATGCGAGGGCCAGATCGTGGGTCTGCAATAACTGGCAAAAGTGTACACAATCAGCGGATAGAGCGGCTGTGGCGTAATGTCTTTCAGGGAGTGTTGAAACCGTTTTACATTCTTTTCTATTTAATGGAAGATTATGGCATACTAGATCCTTGCGACGAAACTGACCTATGGTGTCTTCATTATGTATTTTTGAAGGAAATAAATGATTGTTTATCTCGTTGGGTTGAAGCATGGATACGACATCCACTAAGAACTGAGCACAATCGAAGCCCTTTGCAGCTTTGGATCACTGGCATGCGTTGGAGTAGTATAAATGTCCCTCAACCAGACAGCAATAACTGGGACCTTTTTGGTATTGATTGGACTGGTCCTATACCTATGGGGGATGAAGCCATTGCAACTACACTGGAAGTCCCGGAAACAGTATTTCCAGTGGCCGATGAAATGAGAATTGAGTTGAATGAAACTTTATCCGAAATAAGCAGCCATCACGGAGATGACATTATGGAACAATATTACGTTGTACGAAATTGCGTTAGAGCAATAATTTCAGAACAACGTGGACAAACAACATAGTGAACATACAAGGTTGTTTGATGTATACCCTGGATTCCAGAGCCTTCGACAGTAAATAATAAATTGAAACGTCGCGAAGGCTCTGGTTCAACGGGAAGATTCTTTGATTAAACCGCGCCAATCACAAAACAGAATTAGTGGTTTTAGTACAGAATCTGTTTAATCAAAGAATCTCCCCGTTGAACCAGAGCCTTCGCGACGTTTCAATTTATTATTTACTGTCGAAGGCTCTGGAATCCAGGGTATTTGATGTACAGATATACATAAAATATAAGTATAAAATCCAATACAAGTACATGAAATCACAATGCGAAACAGTTTAGTAAAAGTTTATTGAGAACAATGGTATATATATATATATATATAATTCAATAAAGGCTGTTTTTTGCAACAGAGATGAATTTACTTGGAGGAAGGGGGGGTGCACCTCCTCCCTAGTCCTGACCCAGAGTGGGAGCTATATTTCATGATAGAGAAACAAATATTAGCGAACTGTGAACAATTACAATTCAGATACAAGACTAGCGATGGGCGGGCGGTGCACATCACCAATGTAACTCGGAACCAGAGCTGGCAGAACACCACACCAGATCATGCTGGATCAACCTTAAACTCTAAAACTTTAAACTTTAAGCATGCTAAGCATAATGGGAACATCATTTAATTAGTTTAGAAATCATACATGGGACTCCCTATTCACTCACAAGTAGATGCAATCTTCAGCTAATAAACTTGAAACTTGCGATCCAACTAAGCTTTACACGCTTAGAGTTTAATGTTTGCAAAGACAACCGTTTGAATTATATATATATACGTATATATATATATATATATATATATATATATATATATATATATATATATATATATATATATATATATATATATAAATATATATAAAGGAGACCGTTAGAAATCAAGCATATTGTTGAAATTTGAAAGCCTTTTCAATTGCACATATGCTAAACCGTGGACCGTGAAATATTGATGGAGTGCATATATTAGAAAAAGGAGACCTTTAGAAATCAACCATTGTTATCATTTCAATCCTGGAGCACTTTGCTAAGCCCAAGAGTGGGTAACTTGCGATCTACGTACAGTATGCATGGCAGATTGTTCCCAGAAGCAGACAGTCTTTTGTTTAAACGTGATTTCAATTTCTAAAGGTCTCCTTTTTCTAATATATGCACCAAATCAATATTTCACGCACTACTGTTCAGCATATGTGCAATTGAAAAGGCATTCAAATTTTAACAATATGCTTAATTTCTAAAGGTCTCCTTTCTTTTGATACACCCTGTATATATGTACTATTTAAAACACGAGTAGAAGTGTTTTATCAGATATATAACGCGAGGCGCAGCCGAGCGTTATATATCTGATAAAACACGACAACGAGTGTTTTGAATAGCTTAAAATACGACTACAAAAGAACACTAATTAGGACGAACCATAGTATAATCATGCTAATTAAGATGAACAATTACATAATGCCACATGTAACACGTTCTAGAGCAAAGTGAAATATTCTATTTAACTGAATTCCGGACAAAACTTAAGCAAATCTACTGTTTTTGCACGAAATTTGACCAATATGCTGCTAATAATTGGAATATAATGAGATTCTTGCAATCTGTCTATTCATTCATGTAGGATTCCCTACATTTTATTAATATTTGCAACAAAACCCAACAAAATCAAGAACTGCAGCATTGCAAGAAATTAGGAAATTTTAATGAAATTGAATGATCTTGAAGCAAATGAGAATAGCAATGCCGTTTATTGTAAAATCACGCATATTTAGCAAGAATGGGAAATTATCTTGTTGACAAATCTTTAATATAATACTATATTTTGCAACCCGAATAAAAACGATGACAAAACGGACATATTTTGCCCGATATCGCAACTACGAAGCATTTATATTTCTCACTGCAAGTTGGCACTGCATTTGCAGTGACAAATTGGCAATTTGAAAATTTGGCACTGCATTTGCAGCGCCAAGTTGAAAATTTGGCACTGCATTTGCAGCGCCAAGTTGAAATTTTGGCACTGCATTTGCAGTGACAAATTGAAAATTTGGCACTGCATTTGCAGCGCCAAGTTGAATTTTTGGCACTGCATTTGCAGTGACAAATTGAAAATTTGGCACTGCATTTGCAGCGCCAAGTTGAAATTTTGGCACTGCATTTGCAGCGCCAAATTGAAAATTTGGCACTGCATTTGCAGCGCCAAGTCGAAAATTTGGCACTGCATTTGCAGCGCCAAGTCGAAAATTTGGCACTGCATTTGCAGCGACAAAGTGAAAATTTGGCACTGCATTTGCAGCGCCAAGTTGAAATTTTGGCACTGCATTTGCAGGGACAAATTGAAAAATTGGCAGCCGCACTGCAATCTTATTTCTCTTCGTTGTTTACTGAACAATGCCAAACAAGTTTGAATAAAAAAAGATATATATGGCCCTTTCCATTAACATGGCCAAACCGGTCAGAACGGTCAAATTGTTGAATGAAACACAAAACATTTGGGCTTCGGACCTATCTAACCGGAAAATTTTGATAACATTAGAATGAGGTCCATTTTCGCTAGACATTTGAGAAACATAGACCAGATCTTTCCTTTGATACTGAGAAAAGTATTCAGGTCTGACCGGTCAGGTCATTGAATGGAAAGCGCCCATAGATGAAATATTGGAGTCAGTTTATGTTTTCCCAATATACATTGTTTAATTCAATATGACTTCATTTATTATTTATGTCAGAAAAAAATGTGTTTGTCTGAAAATGCTGCCATTTATTAATTAAGGTAGCAGTTTATTACATTTTGTTTGTTACTGTAGTTACTGAGTTCAGGTGATTTATTATTTTAGTCTCTGACTCTCTGTAAAACCAACCTCACCTTTACCGCAGATTTTATCAGTATAATACATATTATGCCCTTCAACAGACAAGCCACTCCCCAAGAGTACTACATGCATTTTGATCACATGTTGTGACTTGTCTGCCTTCAAACATCTAAGGCTGCGTCTAGACTGGGTGCCCGGCACTGGTGCCCGGCACTTGTTTTGGCTCCCAGTTTGAACACGACGCTTTCAAATGAAATTGGGCACAGTGCCCAAGAACGGGCACTACCTCTAGAGGTAGTACTCAACAACGGCACTGTGCTCAACATGTTTTGTGAACCATTTTGAACATTGGGCACCAGTGCCGGGCACTCAGTCTGAACGACCCCTAAGAGTTCTTATACACCTTTACTGGCTCTTGTCTTAATGTAAGTCATACGTAATACCACTGTCTTTTTCCTTGCTGATCATTTCCTCGGGAACAGAAAAGGGAAGGTTTAGCTTGTGAGTAGACATTGCTCTGCAAAAAAGAAATTATTTTAGTGGAATTATGGCCATTTGAATATTCATGTACCACTTACAAAAAGTAAAATAGTGGTTAAAGGGTCTTGTAGATGGAATTCATTGAGTGGGAATTTGGGTACATTTATATTCATAATTACAAGACTCTTCAACTACAGTATAAATTTATCAATCAAGTGAGATGCCAACAAAATCTTGATATTTACCCATAACCAACACATGGCAGAACCCTATAGTATATATATACATGAACTTGTGGAGTTAGAGCTTGAAAACTGGTGTCTGTAGCTCAGTTGGTTAGAGCGTTGTACCGCCGTTACCAGAATTTGCAGTAGGTATATATACATGAACTTGTGCTTAGAGCTTGACAACTGGTGTCTGTAGCTAAGTTGGTTAGAGTGTTGTACCGCCATTACCGGAGTTTGCAGTAGGTTCGATTGCTGCCAGGGACCTGTATCAGATGCATTTTTTGCAACTGATCCTGGTTAAGTCTAATAAATGTATAAAATTTCTACTCAGTAATTTACACCATTAGACTACAAGACCCTTCAACTACATAATTGTAGAGTAGATCACATCAAATTTTAAGAGACAGTTAAATGTATTCAATTTTGGAAATCTGTCTTCAAATGTGATTCAATATGTAATCTAGCACAGTAGGCAGACATCTACACAACTTAACTATACATTGAACATTGAACGAACAAGGAAAACTTGTGTCAGTCAATGTCTGGCAAATAGCCTTTGACTTTGATATCAGATAAACATGATAAACAATATATACATAGTTTCTAAGTTAGGCAAGGCATGAGCAAACTAAGAATTTGGCACCCACCCCTATGCAGTTCTCATTCACCTTAACATTGGAACGACTGGAATCGTGTACAGGTATAAATATGTTTCATTTGATAGTTCAAATCACCAAAATTGCACAATAATGGTGTAAGGAAAATATTAGACATTTAGGTTTAATAATATATACTCATGGTATAAGGAAAATATTACATATTTTTTAGTTTTAATCATATATAATCATTAATAATTAGCCGGCTTAAACCATTGACATGTGGTTTCACCCGGTCTGATGAATTTGTCACAGTGATTGAATCTGTGGCATTTAAATTTTAGCTATCTGGGGCCAGTCGTTCAAAGCTGGGCTAGCATTAACCCAGGGTTAGCAATAACCCAAACAACAGGCCCCTTGGGAACGACTGGCATTTATGTATAAATATGTTTCATTTGATTGTTCAAATCACCAAAATTGCACAATTATGGTGTAAGGAAAATATTAGATTTTTAGTTTTAATAATATTAGCCGGCTTAAACCTTTGATATGTGGCTTCACCCGATCTGATGAATTTGTCCACAGTGATTGAGTCTGTCGCATTTTAATTTTAGCTATCTTGGGCCAGCTGTTCAAAGCTGGGTTATAAATAACCCAAACAACCAGCCCCTTGGAGACGGTTTTTAAAAGTTTGGCTAGCTTAACCATAGGTTTATTTATTTATTTAGCTTTTTATACATAAGCTAAAATTCACAGCAAACTTCCTGACAGCAATGGCTTGTCTATAAATTTGGAAATATTTTTTCAGAGATCTGGTCTGGATCGGAGTTTTAAATACAACCGACCCCCTGATGAGCGGTTTTAAAGCGCCAGCATAAAACCGCTAAATATTTAATACTACACAGCTACACTGCTTGGGTTTATACACTGTTAATTTCGAGGAGTCAAATTGACTCCAAAAGTGGAGTAAATAAAAAAGGTACAGAACGACTCCATTTTTGGAGTAAATTTTACTCCATAAGTAGAGTTGTTTTTACTCCTCAAAGAGTAAAAACAACTCTACTTAAGGAGTAAAATTTACACCAAAAATGGAGTAAATAAAGGGGTAAAATTTACTCCAAAAACGGAGTCGTTCTGTACCTTTTTATTTACTCCACTTTTGGAGTCAATTCGACTCCTTTGGAGACAAAATGACTTCTATATATTGCAGTAAAGAAGTCTTCAATTAACTTTAGAAATCAATAAAGACATTTTTCGAGTCAAAATAATTTATTATCCCTACAAGTAAGGTATATTATAGCAGGAAATACAATTTGCTGTAGCATAATATAATGATATATTCTTACGCCCTATAATATTTTTAATGAAGTTCTAAAATGAAATTTTGATTAGAATGATATCATGAATACATGTGGAATACAATTACAAGCCTGTCAGCATGAATTGAACCTGCAGCCCTGCAATTCTACCGCAGCCCTTGACTTAGACAGCCCTTTTGCCAAGAGGTAACCACAAGTTGCCGCATATATACCATGGTGGTGTCATTGGTAGTGTATTAAATAAACTGCCCAGGATGACACTAGTATTATATACATGAACTCTTGGTTACAGTAGAGCTTGATTGACTCTCAGGGCGATGGACTCTTAGGGCTTGAGGACCCTTGACGGCTAAAAAGCTGATCAGAATCACAGGGTAGCAGGTTCCATTCCCAGCACAGTACCGGCTATTACATAGTTATCGTTCAAAAAATTTACATTTACAGAAAAGCTTTAACCCATTAAGTGGCAGCACTCTCTCCTTAATGAGCAAAAATTGTCTGACCACATTGGACAGAAAAAATAAAAAGTAAAGCAAATTGCCACTTAAAGGGTTAATATTCTGTTCAATGTAGAATATTTACAAGTAAAATATACTGCATGTATTAAATGTATGTAGTGTCACTGCTCAATCAAACATGTCAAGCAAGTCCATTAGTAAAAATTTAGTACAAAACAAGCTGTATACCACAAGTCGGCAACTCCATCCCTTGCATGGTTTGGTAATTCACAAAAATGCTCTTCAGCAAAAGAATAACATTTTCCAAATAGACCATGAAGTTCTTAGAATGCCATTAATGATTACATATAATACCACTTGTTTAAACAACTTGCCTTCTTCTGGGAAGCTTTTGTTAAATCCATAAATTAATGACAATCCCTAGTAAGAAAAAAATATATAAGGTTGATATTTAACAGCAGCAAATTATTGATTGATGTTTGTGATGTTACTCTGAGTGTGCATCCACACCGGGCAAGCTGAAAAGTTAGTTTGGCCACGGTGGGAATCGAACCTGCGGCCTTTGGAATACTAGTCCAATGCTCTGCCAACTGAGCTACATATTTTGGAACCGAGTCTAGTTCCTTCGATATCAGTGTACAGGGGTATTCAATGATACGATTATTTTGTGTGTGTTGGTGTCATGTACTCAGGTGAATATATAATGTTTGTGATGTTACTCTCACTGAGTGTGCATCCACATTGGGTAAGCTGAAAAGTTAGCTTGGTCATGGTCACAGGTTCGATTCCCACTGTGGCCAAGCTAAATTTTCAGCTTGCCCGGTGTGGATGCACACTCACAGTAACATCACAAACATCATATATTCACCTGAGTACATAATGTACGAGTCAAATCCAACCGCGATTAGCCCCCCCCCCTGGGCAACCCCCGGGGAATTTGACTTTTGAAAAAATAATTGGTCAAATGCCCGCCCGAACAGGCAGAAACCACAGTCAAATGCCCTGCTATAGGGGTAGTCCTGGTTTTGGAATTTTGGCCAAAATTAAATTGAACAAGTATTTCAAGATTAAAAAGAATGAAAAATAGGCCAGATAGTTCTTTTTGTTCAACTGGGCATATTGTATCAATATCTATGATTGATATTTGTGATTCAGAAGCAATTTTTAAACTATCGAAAAGACGCAAAATAGAAAACTCGTGAAGCGTTAGAATGTACACATATTTTTAGGGAAAACTGCTGAGCAATTTGTTGTCAAGTGGTCAAATGCCCGGCTGGGCCATCAAATTCCCGACCGGGCCATCAAATTCCCGCCTATACGGGGATAATGTTAAGTCAAATGTCCTGGGGTTGCCCGGTGGGGGGGGGACTGATCGCGGTTGGATTTGACTCGTACATAACACCAACACACACAAAATAAAAATTATTGATTGATTGACAATGAATTTGCTATTTTTGCACGGTTGTTTGCATATACAAAGCAAGAAATACACAATTCAAATGCTTTTATTCATTTAATGTAAGCATGCAATTGAACTAACATCATCCAAATGAATACAACTTTTCTGGTGAAGGGTGTTTAAAATAGAGGTGCATCTTCTCGGGCCAATGGACACAATTGTAATTTAAGGTACGGAAATAGATTAACACTGTTTCCTTGTAAGACGGAGCGCTTTAAGGAAAGCTTTTTTCCTACTATGTGTATTCAATCACATAATTTATAAATTTTGTAAATTTTGTAAATTTAAAAGTTCTTTCGATATTAATTCATAGATCAGTAAACTATTGTTGTAATATAATGCCAGTAACACAAGGTACTTTTTAATACTTTTAACTAAAGTTTGTAAATAATTTCGCAATTCGCTTTCATCGAGCGCGACGATTTTTATAATAAACCATTAATAATAATAATTGACCCAAAATTCATTGTCCCAAAATCTTGCTAATGCCATGGTAGGATTTTCCATATAAATTATATACAATCACGCACGATTTGGCACAGTATTACCCCTGGGCCCAGGGTAAAAAGATCTCTGTGATTGTTTTTGTCAGTTTATACATTTCGAGACTGT